GTGTGGATACATATGATTAAATCAAACGTAGAACTGTGTCCAGCTTTAACACAACTGTTGAAGCGTGAAGCTGCGTATACCCCTAAACGTGTGTGTCTCAGGACATCGTGCTCCAAAACGCCTGCGTTTTTTATGTTTTTAGAGCATGCCATTTTGCCCCCGACGCTCTGGTAGCAGCAGCACTAGCTGGTGGCGGGAAGCAACGGAGAATAAAAGATTCATGTACGGAGATTTGTCTGGATTAAAGAGAGATTTAATTTGCCTGATTTGATTCTGTCTAGCCAACTAATACCATGCTTACTGCTACTTTAATTATTTTAAGAAGAGAGGGAGAAGTCCTATAACTGTAGCCACTTTTGTCAGCCCCACGTGGAGCAGATCTTGAGCGTTTCTGTGTATAATATTTTATAATATTAACCTTAACAAACCAAACCAGCCCATACTTGTCATTGTCGAAAGTCCCATCCAGTGCTGCGACTCTCAAAGCACTTCCTAAACGGGATTAAGATATGTCTTAGCTTGTTAGCTGGTGTTCTGCGTTTTTATATGAAAACTGAGACATCTGGGCGGTAAAACTGTGCCATAATGAGCAGGATGATCTAGCACAGAAATGTCCAGCTGGTGCACCTTGTGTGAAACTCTGATTTTTGGATGCCTTCTAGAATATGTACATCCACCTACGTGTTTCTCGCCATGGGCTGCTGCTGATGTGCTCACGGTGGAGACTGCCACAACTTGTCTGCAGAGGTTTAGCAACTTTAGTTTAGTGGGTACACACTAAACTAAATTGAATTTAGTTTAGGGTTGAACTGGGGTTGGTATGGTCATCAGTCTTCTCTTTGGGGAGCGAAGAAGGGCCGAGGAGCAGCACCTTTCTTCTGGTCCCACCCATCTCTTTGTAGGTATTACTTGTGGCTGTTTTGAGAGGATCATCATGCCGTTCTTCCTTCACTTGTGATAAGGCCCTGGCCGTGTGGTGTCTGAACACCACATCACATTAGAAGCGATCAGAAACTGTTCACTGCCATGCACTTAGCTCTGTCCATGCCATTTTCTTGTTGTCCTTGTTGGAAACCAGCATCAGAGTTGCAGTTTTGGGGTTCCCAAACTTGGAGATAAGCAGCCTCTGTTATTTGTGGTGGACAGATTTACCTGTTTAAAATGTCTTCATCCAAACCTATGCAAATAACTGCGGTGATCTAATCAAATCAGAGGGTACTGAGGGTGGTGGGTGGCGGATGTGGCTTGTCACGGTCAGCTGACTGCACTGTGGTGAGACCGCCTGACATTCGTGTCCTCAGGATATTTCATTTTTGGAAGATTATCTGGCAATCAGATTACGGTGCTGGCACACTGCGTTGTAGTTGCGTCGTGCCAAGGCAGGCTAGTGCAGACTAGTGTGACCTGGGCTTGATAAGCTCAACGTGGGACAGGCCACCTTCTTTCAGTTCTGTGGTACGTGTTTGCTCTTCGGCCATGACATTTCCTCTAGGGACAGGGCACATGACTGATCTGTGAGTACAGATGTGGACGAAAGATTTTCTTGAAGGTATTTTTAACATGAGATGTTTCAGCTATTACATACTTGTGCAGTTTTGAGTACATGTCTGTACTGCACTCTTAAGCTGTCAGAAAGAACAAGGTTTATGCGTCACTGCAAGTCAAGCTTCGTGAATTATTCTGTTTTTCTGTTACTGATATGTTTTATAACTCTCTCAACACACGCCCTGCTCCAAAACTATTCGAATGCGTTGCGCTGACTTCTGTGTGCTTTTGGGTCAGGGCCCTCAGTCTCCTTTGGTTTCCTTCTGCCTTTGTATTTGCTTTTTTAGTTACCTTCCAACATAAGTTTTTCCTCCAGCATGATGTTTGCTTCGTCCTGGAAGGAGATGTGAGCGTCGACTACGTGTGTGTCTTACTCCAAGTTTTGTGAAAATTCAACTTTGTTCTTGCTTCCCTTTTAACCATCAGACGATGCTAATAACTGCAGCTAGACAGGAGGGAGGAGGGCGAAGGGGAATCTTTTGTTCCTTTAAGACTTTCCAAAGCTGGTTGTGAATGTTAAGTCTGGAGGCTTTTCTGGCACTTCTCAATACCGTCTGAGGCTGCATTTTGAATCTATGAGCTTTGTGAATGAGTAAATAGACTGGGAAAATATTGATGATATAGTTGCTTGTGGAAACTTCCTGATTTAGTTCTGTAAAATCTACCTGACAATTCCCCACTTTGTCTTAAAAAAAACTTAACTAGCTCATTTGATGGACAGCAGGAGCACTTCCCCATTTTACGGAGAGAAGAGGACAGGCTGAAGGCTAGGATATGTTTCTGTAGCAGCTTGGAGGAAGAGATGCTTCTGCCCCATGAAAGCAGCACTTCTAGGAGGCCCTGCAACTCGGGAAGAGCTGGATCATAAGGAAGAAAATGCAAGAAGTTTGGGGGGGAGCAGTAAGCTAGGCACGTGGGGGTCACCTGTTGGATGCTCGCTTTGGCCCAGAGAAGGTGAGGAGGCCGAGGCCTTAGCCATTCTCCAGTTGCTCCAAAGAGGAAATACTTGGGAAAATAACCCTACTCTTTTCCTGCCTGTCCAGATTCAATGTGTTTTTTTTTAATCTGCCATTGGATGTGAAAGGGGAGGTCCTGTCTGTTGGCTCAGAAATCTATTGAGGCTCTGTCCTGCAGCATCTTACCCAAAACTTCAAAGGGCTAAGTCTGAAAGGCAGAGGTGAAAATGGAGCTTGCTGGTTGCTAATCCTGTACTCAGATTAGTCAGTTACTCTAGCAGACTTAAGAGCAGACCTGAGCTCCAGATCTCATTGCTCTGAAAGCCCTCATTCTATCACGCTTGCCTAAGTCAATTTTTTTGTTCTTTGTAGAGCAAAATCAGCCTCGTGTGCCCATCTGATTGAAGTGCTGAGACTTGTCTAATTAAACAAGAGTTCAAGTAAACAGTTGAGTAAATGCAAAGCAGCAAGGAGATCACCCAAGCGTTGCTTCTGAGCGCCGCGGTGGCTTGGCACCAGCCGAGCAGATGGCTAGGTCGCATCCTGCCCAGGGCTAGGCAACTTAGTGGGTTGGGAGAGAAGATATTGATAGAAAAAGTATTCATTTAATTAAACGGGTTCCATTCCGAATCTACAGATGCCTCAGGTCTCTGATCTCTTACTTCATAGCATCAGCCCAGAGCATAGCATTAGTAAAAAGAGAGGGGTTGTTGTGCAGGGTGTTGTGTAGTCTCCTGCAAAGAGATGGTTGCCAATCCAGGAGACAAGGCTGATGTGAGCAAAAGATATTTTGGGAGGGAGATCAGAGATGCAGAGCGTGGAAGCAACTTTACCTGTCATGCAGTAGTTGGGATTAGCAGGGAGCAGTCCTGGCTTCCCGAGCAAACAACCAGTCCGACCCCAGTGCCTGCCAAGCTGCCCTTCCTGTGCTGCAGTTGGGGGCTTGAAATCCCAGAGCTGGCTGGAAAGGAGGTTGGTTTGTCCGAGTGTGTGCAAACATCAAAAAACATGACAGATCACCTGAGCTGTGGGGACAAACTTGAGCCTGTTCCCTTTGGGACCGTATTTAACCCTCTAGCCAAAGTCTGTATCCAGACACATTGTGATTTGGGGAAAACGCACTGGTGACTCTCTCATTGGTATGTGGCCATCAGAAATCTTGGTGACAAGCAAGTTTGGCTTTTTGACCTCTTTTGTGTGGGTGGGAAAAAATCAACATAGGGGGAAGAGCTTTTTCAAATGCCTTGACCAGTTGGTAAATACACACTCCTGAGAGCCAAAGGTAAAATACAGCGCTTGTGCTTCCCAGCAGCAGTGGGAGCAATCAAAAGATGGGGCCAGAGCAAGGACCAGCAGACCAAGAGCATGACGTGTGGCCTCGCGCATCCCCAGCCACGTGCAGGACGCAGCAGTACCTTGGACAAGTCCAAGCGACTCTACTCTGAGTCAACAGAGCTTGTATTAACAACTATTTTTAAGCCCAAATTCCTCACTATTAGAGCAACTTGGAAAAATAACGTATGGACTCCTAATCCCGCCCTGAGATGCACAGCAGGAAATGCAGTTAGGGCTTGGTGTTGAGTTCGTGCTTTTGGGCTTTAAAATTGACCTTATTGTTTCAAGGAACATGGGGTAGACGCAGGGGAAATAAAACAGCCATCTCTCTTCGGTTTTGTCGTTAACATAGTTAGGGAGCACCTTTCTTCACTTAAAACTCAAGGGGGAATAAATACGTTCCTGGATGAAAGCCTTGAGGTTCAGAGCACCCCGAAAGGCGAAGCAGAACTGGGCGGCTCGTAGCTCGCCGGCTGGCTTCGGCACACAGGCCAACGTTGCTGGCACCCTCCCCGCTCCCTGAAAGCTGCTATTGTGCCGATTCACAACTGGCGGCTTTGTGTCGGCCTCATCCCGTGACCTCGCCGTGTCTTCAGTGCCGCGATGGAGCGAGCGCGGGAGGGTCAGGGAAGCTGCTCCGGCTTCCCCGGAGCCTCCCTGCCTGATGCTGCTGGTTGCCTGCGCTGTGAAGTTGTCTCCAGTGGCTTAGCCTGAATCTTTCCTTCTTCAAAGGGAATTTTTAAGACACCACTGAAATAAAAATGATCTCCTTCCTAGCTGTGGACCTTCTTAACTGTTATCATTTTCCATTACCCCAAATACTAACGTATACATATTGAGCGATGCTGAATGTCACGGTCTTCTTGCCTGTAACTGTTGTTGCTGACCCATAAATCTCCTTCTACTGGTTGTGCCTAAAAGCTCTTTTACTGATGGGAACACCCAAAGTTGTGCCTCCTGTATTTAAAATAATTCCAGATAGTCTTCCTGCCTCGGGGCAAGTTTGTCTCTAGCTTGACCACTAATAGAAAGTTGCATTTTGCATATAGGTAAAAGGAAGTGGAACTGATTTGCTGGAGGGCTGTGAAAACATTCAGTTTTGCAAAGGTGTTGCTGAACTGTGACCGTTTGATTTAAAAGGCTTGTTTTTTGGTTTATTTACAGGGGGCCCCACTAGAAGAACCTTTATGGGATCCTAATGACATGCAGGTGGATGATTTACTTGTGGTAATTAAGGTAGGAAGAAGTGTTGTTCATTTTGGCATCTCGGAATTTGCCCTCTTCTTGAAATAGAAGAGTGACAGACCAGTCATCGCTCTATTTAAGGCTTTGGTACTCTGCGCCAGCAATACGGCGCAGCACACTGCCGAGGCGTGAACTTGTTGTTTGCGTAAAGTGTCCCTTTAAACGCAGGGGGAAGGGGTGTCTTATTTAAGAATTACCTGGGAACATAACTAAGTGGAAAAAATCCGACTTCCTCCCCCGAAGGATAATGAGCTCTCTGTTGGGCTAGAATTGGAGGTGGCATGACTCTTATTTGAAAGAACTTTAGCACAGGGATTTTTTTGTTCTGCTGAAACTTAGTGGTTGCGGTGGAATTCAGGTTCTGACTTGTCATCCTAAAAAAAAAAAGCCCAAAAACACTAAAAATATATTTTATTAGTTTATTTTCATCATCTTGAGCTTCTATGGAAAGCTGGTCTATCTCCAAATGTGGTAAGAGAGAGTACTCGATTCTTTAATTAAATGCAGGAAAATCCCTGATCTTAAAAACACTGAAGTATTGGTTGAAATTAGAAAATAAAATAATGTATGCAGACTTAAATGTATTTATAAGTAGTTTTTGTGGTATTTAGATTCTTGTCTTGCCGTGGTTGGGTTATTTCCAGCATAACTCTTTTGCTCAGAATTAAGCATCATGGCAGTGAAGTTATCACTACTGGTCTTTGATTCATGTTGCAGTAAGAAAGAGGGCTTTATTCATCTTAGTCACTGCGCAGCTTCTTAAAAAAAAGAAGCAACTTTTGCCCTCGAGGGCATGCAGACAAAAACCAGGGGGGCTGGTAGGCACCGAGAGGAACTGCTTTCCGATGGAGGAGGTTACCGAACGGGGTTGCCAACAGGAACTGGGTCTCCTGGCTCCTGCTCTCCTTATCTTGTATAGGTACGCGCTGGTCCTTCCCTTTGCTCTGCCTTTTGGTGGAGCTGTCCTGGAGAGAGGCTTGACTTGATGATCTCCGCAAGATGGGAGGACTGAAAGCTTAGAAGGCAGAATTTTGTTTCATTCATTTTGCCTTGGGCCACTTACGTGACTGTACTTGGCGGGAAGTGATAGGTGTTGGCAGCACGATGTATCATGTCACATTGTAGACATCAGGAAAGGATCGTGGAAACAGTGGGAGCAAAGGACTGCTTAGTCTGTCACCTGCTGCTGAGTACAGTTTAACCTCTCATGTTTTACCCCTTCCATCACTTCCCTTTACTGACTGGTCCATAATCTGCACGACCTCGGTGTTAACCATTTCTCTGCATATACAGGCTAAGGGTTGTTTGTTTTTTTTTTTTAACTAATATTTGTCTTGTAATTGTGTTGTTCTCCGTTTGGCCAACCTTTAACAACAAGTAAACAAACAAACAGACAAGGACTGTCTTCCTCTCCTTCCTCTTGGAAGTCTGCCCATCTCCTGCATGATGCTTCACATGACTGCCCGTCCTGGGTAGCCTTAGCTTGACTAATTCTTAAATGCCTGATCGAATTTATACTGCAATCCAGGAAGAGGCTGATACCAACTTGCAAAGGTGGTAGATCAGGCTCTGGGTTCCCACCAATCTAACAAAGCCCTGCAAAAGGTACCCAAAGTATAGCAAAGTTGGATGCTGTCCCTGGGAGCACAGGTGAGACCAACACCAAGGACAGGATTTTGTTTGTGTGTTTCTTCAGACTGTGAATGTATAAGAGTGTGTCACTGGGGAACACAGGGTGTATTGTGTGCACAACACTAAAATATTGCAACAGAGATTAATCCCACTGGTGCTAATAAGAAGCGTTAGTGTGTTTGGTTGGTGTTTAGTAACGAAAAAGAGTTGCTGGATAGTTTACTGAATAGTTGGAGAGAGAAAGGGAAATTCAAGCTGTAACAAGAGCAAATTCCTTTAATACAGGTTTATAGATCTCATATGTATTTGTACGTTTTGTTTGGCTAACGATAAAATGTACTACTGTGGAATTTGCTTGGAGCAGGGATTTGCATGAATTATTATTTCTTGCAAAATGAATGTGCATAAGCATTCACCCCGAGCTCCACAGTACCAGAGCACCCATTCGAAGGATTTGTATGCCTGGATGCAGTGGTCAGCAAAGCTAGGTGCTTGGGGGAAGGAGAAAGCCTGGTAGATAAAGCAGTAGATACAAAGCTACTTGGTGGCTGAAATCACGGGGAAAAACATGCAGGCGTCCTCGTGGATGGTCTCTTGGTTTTGCACTTAGAGCATTTTGTTTGAAGGGTTTCACGTTCTTGCAGAGAGATCATGCTGTAAATTGCTAATTAAGCAAATGAGCTAGTGGGATCAGTCTGTCTACAGAAAGCAGGAAGTTAGTGTATTGAAGAAACCTTGAAGCTGTAGTCTCACATTATCCGATATGTAAAATTATGATGTCTCGTAGGAATGGAAAGAGTTCTGAAAGAGTCACTCGAAGTTTGGTTGACTTAAAACCGTGTTTCACACTGTGAGGTAGGCTTTTTAGTTTTACAGTTCTGGACAAATATTAAATCGAGCATAGTCTTTTACTTAAAATTTGACTAAACCTGATAGCATTAAATAATTTGCTGAGAAACCTTTATCATCTTTTTCTAGACCGTAGAAATGGCTTGGGTAAACATGTTAGACAAAGTACTTTAGAGGAACATCCTTAGGTTTTGTAGAATTTCTGGTTGCGTTAACATATTTGCTCAGAAATAAGTATAGGCTTACGCTGAGCTCCTCAAAGGGCAGCAAGCTGTTCACTCGGGGATGGAAGTGGTGGTTTTATCTCTGATAGCTCGGTGCTGAGCTAAATGCCTCATATAATGTTTTGTTGAGAGGGTAAGTGCTAAGACCCTGTATCGTGTTTCACGAGGCTGAAGCCCAGCGGATGCTATTCCCAGCCTTTAGATGAGCCGCGTCCTTTCCTGGACCTTGTCTGGTTGCATTGCCAGCTTCTTCTGGGAGGAGGTGGGAACCCAAACTGCTCGCCCCGGGGGTTTAGACAATAGCTTAACGTGTGCGGTTTTCCTCACGCTGCTTTCCGCCCCACTGATCGCTGAGCCGGTGTTGGCTGTGCTACCCACAGTAACTGCAAGATCTTTCCTGAGAGGCGGGAGTTGCTAATTGCGGTTGGGTTGTTTTCCTGGTATGTGTTACCTTTCGTAACTCGAAATTTAACTTGTCATTTTCCTGTCCAGAATTGAAAGAGAGCCTTCTTCCTGAGCAAGAAGCACATAATTCATAATTCAGGGGACTCTCCGGTCCTTAACAGGATGTTCAGGTTGCTCCTGGCCCAAACACCGTTCTGCGCCGTTTGCACCGCGGCCTGGAGCATCTTCACTTTTTTTGAAAGATGTTCATCCTGGCTGGTTTGGCATCAGATGGTGACAAAATTAGGTAGTGATCCCCTGCCATGCACCCGCTTTGACGATTTTCTTCTGTAGTTTCAGTTACAGCCGCTGACAGCTGTAGTCTTTGTCAAACCCAGAATGATTGCTGTTAATTTTTGGCCTTTGATGATGTGCAAATTGGCTGTTGCAGGGCTCTTTGGAAATGCGGAGGTGGCCTTGAACAGAAGTCTCAACTTACTGCCACTTGTGCTCCTAAGCCACCTAGGCGCTTGTAAAAACCCTCCTTCCTATAAACCTTCAGCTTCCTAAATTGAATTTGATGGCACCAATGTAAGCTGACCTTCCAGCCTGTTCCAACCTAGTCCTTCCTTGCAGGCTAAAAATATTTGTGTGTTGAGTTTTGTATCAACCGTTTCACAAACCGTCGGTCCTAAACACACGGCCAGGGTTCTGCTTTTTAAGTTCACTGAAGGCCACGGGCTTGAATGGGACGACTGTTTGCCGAAACCACACCAGGAAGCCTGCTGGGACCCGCTACCGGTGCCGTGAGCTGTGCTGTGCAAACACACACATCCACCCTCCGTCTCCTTGCTGACAACTGCCTCCCTGAGTAATAATTTTTTTTTCAGTAGCTTCTTCTGTAAGCAGGTTTCCTCTTGCAGGTGTTTAGGAAAACCTTCTACTTCATACGCTGCCTGGAGTGTGCGCGTTAATTCGGCCTAACTGCTCAGTGCATAAAAATGTAACGCTCCTGCATAGTGCAGAGCCCTGTACTTTTTGTAATAGTGTCTTGTAAAACTGAGCCGGGAAACTGTACTAAATTGATGGACAGCTTTACAAATACCTCGCCGGTCCTCATTCTGCAAAGTGCAGCAAGCCACAACTTAAATTTTCAGGGGCGTTGCAGCTGCAGTCTGCATCCGGTCTGCCGGTTCTTGGTGTTTTCTTGCTAAATTTTGAGGACTTTCTCAACATTGTGTCTACGCTGCAGTCAAAGCTACGCTTACAGTAGCTAAAACACGCTTAATGCTAATATTGGTGGAAGTGAGCATATCGGAATCGTTTTGGTTTTTTTTGTCTTCGCACGTCAATGACTTTAAACACGTTTCTGCTTTGGTTGTATTTTGTCCCGCCAAAGGAGTGAGCTGATACACATCTGCTTCAAAAGGACGGATCCTTCAAATGCCGTGCTAGGTGATGTAAATGGTCCTTTTCACAGCTCAGAATGAATCTTCATTTCTGAACAGGCAATACTTAGCTTTCGTGAAGCCTGCCTTGCGCTGTTTGCCCGATACTGTGTCACAGAGGCCAAGGCAAATTCCTTGCCTCTGGAGAGTTTATCTAATCCTAGTAAAAACAATAAGAGGAGATGACAAGTTGAGGAAGTGAAAACACAAAGGGGAAGACGTTTTGCCTCCTTAGTCATAGTTGGAAGCCAGTGAATGCCCCTTCAGGATGGAGTAATGCTGTATTTCCTTTGTTTTAATTCCGTTGTGCCCATTTCTGCTCCTTGCGGAGCGCCCATAATGCTGACGGTAGCTTTTCAGCCCTCTTAGTCTTCCTATTTCAGGAGAGCAGGTCAACAGAGAAGATCACCGCTATCCGAAATAAAAATAACAAACAAGAAAACCCCACAGAGCA